GTTCTAGGCGGGGGGAATTGTTTTATTGCTTTGATCTTCTCAGGTGAAGTTCGTAGCCCTGTTTGAGACACTATGAATCCCAAGTATTCGACGCTTTTTTTTTAAAGAACTTTGACTTTTCTTGGCACACTCTCATGCCCGCCTCTAAGAGTTTCGTTAAGGCCCAATCCACGTCCCTAACATGGTCCTCTTTTGTTTTGGAAAATATTATTACGTCATCGACATACACATAGCATATCTTTGAAATTCCTACCCGGAGGACATCGTCGATGGCCCTCTGGAAAATGCTCGTGGCATTCTTAAGTCCAAATGGCAGTCTACAGAATTCGTATTTGCCGTTGTTGATTGAAAAGGCTGTCTTTTCCCTGTCCTTTTCTGCCAGCTCTATCTGATGAAAGCCTGACTTGAGGTCGAGTGTCGTAAAAATTTCGACTCGCCCATATTCGACAGTATTGTCGAGATGGTAGGGATAGGGTATCTATCGTCTACGGTTTTTTGGTTGAGTTTCCTAAAGTCGATAACCAATCGCTTCTTTTTAACCCCATTTTGTTCAGTTCCTTTTTTGTCCACAACCCAGGTAGGGTTATTATATGGGGACTTGGATGGCCTTATTACGCCGTCCGTAAGAAGTTGTTTAACCTCTGCATTGACGAATTCGGATACACCCATGGGGTGCGGGTATAACTTAGAGTATACCGGTTCCCCATCCGTTTTAATCGTTGCCAATGTGCTTATGTTGAAAGGCAGCGCTTCGTTCGGATCGGCGAAGGCTTTATGATTTTTTACAATCATTTTATCGAAGCTGGCTTTAATTGCCAGAGGAACGTCCTCGTCATCGATTTTTATGAAGTTAACGTTTTCCGCTTTAGCAAACTGGATCTTTTCAGTTCCATTGCTAGTGTGCAGAACATTTTTAGTTAAATCGAGCTTCGCATTCACTTGTTTAAGTAAGTCGAGTCCGATAATGCCGTTAAAATCCTTAAGGTCGTTAAGAATGAAAAAGGGTGTTTTTACGTTGAACACTAAAACTAGACATTTTTTATTTATTTTAGTAAAGCCATGGATCGTCTTTACTGTAAAGGGTTTATCCGCTGCCACGATGCCTTTCAGCCCCGGGAGTGGAGTAATGTAATTTTTAGAGGTGCCTGTGTCGATTAATAGTTTTATTTCTTTTCCTGCTATCGTACGTGTAATGTAAGGAAGCAGGGATTTTATTCTAAAAAATTGCAGGAGTCTTCTCCAGCTAACTCGTCCTCTATCTCCGTGGGTGCTTGCTTGCGCAACGAAGTCATATTCCTCATCGTCGGTTTTTTCTTCCGGCATGAAGTTTATTTTTGTTGGGATCGTGTCGACCCCCTTTGCCATGCCGTGGGCTGCTTGAACCTGAAAAACGGCATTTTTCAATGACTTTTTTAAGCCAGATATGAACGCATGTAAAGCGTCATCTCTGTGCTGTTCATTTAAGACTGCCGCCGCGGTTGCGGCGTGAGTCATGATTGTTTTGTTGGTAAGAAGCGTTAGCTTCCGTTCGATCCCGTCATAGTATTTAAGAGGGGGCAGTTCTCGCTGTCTAGATAGACTTAACTGTTGTTTAATTACGTGTGCTGGAGTTTTGTCCGCATACGTAAAATCCAACCTTACCAGTATGGCATGAAAGTTAAACACTGTGTTAAATGAGGCATTAGCCGCTGCCGCGCCCCGTACCTTATTTTTAAGTATTCCTACAGCCTGGTAATGTCGGCTGCTTCCTCAAATACCCTATATGCTGCAGTAGCAGCCTGCCTCCAGGAAACATAGTTTTCCTGCTTCCCGTCGAATTCCGGGACAGATTTTACCATGTCCAGGGGTTCATTACATTCTTTTCCCGGTTCTATTAGTATTTCCAGGAAAGTCTGAATTTTCGGAGTTTTAAACCTTTAATGAGCATATTTAATATTTTTGCACCTATTATTTTTTACAACAAAATTTAAATATCAAAAAGAACGTTTTATTAAAAAAATGTTTTGTTTTTTTTGTGACGAAAATTAGGCATCAAAATAAAAATTTTTATTACTAAAAATTCTCCAAAAAATATAATTGGTTTATTTTATTATAGGAAAATTTGAAATTTATTCGTTTTTAAGTGTCAATGAAATTTTTTTGAAATATTTGCATAAGCGAACACTTAGGACAAAAAGCCTACTCCATGTTCTTATATTTATTTCCTCTTTGAGTCCTATGTTTTGCAGACGGCTTTGCCGCCACTGGTACTGCCGCAGCCGTTGTCGCTGTTGTTGTCGCTGCCGCAGCCGTTGTCGCTGTTGTTGTCGCTGCAGCTGCCGTTATCGCTGCCGCTGCTGTTGTCTTCTTAGGGAGTAATTTTTTGCAATTCCCGTTGCAGACTTCGGGAGACATTTCCGACCCTATAAAGTATATATATGCTCAATCAGCATAACTTCTGACTGAAAATAACTTTAATTTTATTCAACTAGTTTCGTAATCGGCACAAAGCTGACCAATAAAATCAGTCTTGTTACTTATGTATATGATATTGTCGTGCGAACAGCCTAGTTTCGACTTATATTTTACCTGCAATATAAAGATTACTTTTGGGAAAGTTTCATGCAGATAGCTTTAAAACTGAGAGACTAGTTTGCGTAGAAACGGACGGAGAGGCTGACAGACGGACGGTCAGACGAACATGGCTAAATCTCCTAGTGATGCTGATAAAGAATATATATACTTTATGGGGTCGGAGATGTCTCCTTCACTGCGTTGCAATTATAATACCGTATGCAATGGTATAAAAACAAGAAAGGAAGCAAACTTCGCAAGCCGAAGTTCATATACCCCTGCAGCTATTTTAAAAAATTAAATACTCTTGAAAACGTTAAAATTATGATTTACTTGCGTGTATGTTTAAAAACATTGAAGCTATGATGATTTGCAGCTTAATTATTCGATAGTTCCTATGGCAACTATACGATTGTTCCTATGGGAGCTATATGCTATAGTCGTCCGATTTTGATGAAATTTAAAACGTAACTCTGAAATATTTAACCATTACTATATCTCGAAGAACTAAAAAAAAATTAAAAAACAGCAAAGCTATAATTTTTTATACCCTTGCAGAGGGTATTATAATTTCAGTCAGAAGTTTGCAACGCAGTGAAGGAGACGTTTCCGACCCTATAAAGTATATATATTCTTGATCAGCATCACTAGTAGAGTCGATCTAGCCATGTCCGTCTGTCCGTCCGTCTGTCCGTCTGTCCGTCTGTCCGTCCGTCTGTCCGTCTGTCCGTCTGTCCGTCCGTTTATATGCAAACTAGTCTCTCAGTTTTAAAGCTATCTGCATGAAACTTTCCCAAAAGTTGTCTTTCTATTGCAGGTAGTATATAAGTCGGAACGAGCCGGATCGGACGACTATAGCATATAGCTCCCATAGGAACAATCGGAAAAATAATTGAAAAAAATTATAACTTTGCTGTTTTTTAATTTTTTGTTTTGTTCTTCGACATAAAGCAATGGTTAAATATTTCAGAGTTATGTTTAAAATTTCATCAAAATCGGACGACTATAGCATATAGCTCCCATAGGAATAATCGAAAAATAATTGAAAAAAAATTATAACTTTGCTGTTTTTTAATTTTTTGTTTAGTTCTTCGACATATAGCAATGGTTAAATATTTCAGAATTATGATTAAAATTTCATCAAAATCGGACGACTATAGCATATAGCTCCCATAGGAACAATCGGAAAAAAAATTGAAAAAAATTATAACTTTGCTGTTTTTTAATTTGTTTTTTAGTTCTTCGACATATAGCAATGGTTAAATATTTCAGAATTATGGTTTAAATTTCATCAAAATCGGACGACTATATCATATAGCTCCCATACAAATAATAAAAATATATAAAAGAAAAATCAAATAATTAAGCTGCAAATCTTCATAGCTTCAATGTTTTTAAACATATACGCAAGTAAATCATAATTTTAATGTTTTCAAAAATATTTAATTCTTGCGATAGCTGCAAGGGTATATGAACTTCGGCTTGCCGAAGTTTGCTTTCTTTCTTGTTTTTATTTATTTTTATGATTGTTCCTATGGGAACTATATGCTGTAGTCGTCCGATTTTGATGAAATTTAAACCGTAATTCTGAAATATTTAACCATTACTATATCGAAGAACTAAAATTAAAATTAAAAAACACCAAAGTTATAAAATTTATTAATTTATTTTTCCGATTGTTCCTATGGGAGCTATATGCTATAGTCGTCCGATCCGGCTCGATCCGACTTATATACTACCTGCAATAGAAAGACAACTTTTGGGAAAGTTTCATGCAGATAGCTTTAAAACTGAGAGACTAGTTTGCGTAGAAACGGACGGACAGACGGACGGACAGACGGACATGGCTAGATCGACTCTCCTAGTGATGCTGATCAAGAATATATATAATTTATAGAGTCGGAGATGTCTACTTCACTGCGTTGCAAACTTCCGACTGAAATTATAATACCCTCTGCAAGGGTATAAAAAATAAAAATTAGAGCTTTGATGTTTTTTAAATGTATTTTGTTCTTCGAGATATAGTCATTGTTTATTATTTCAGAATTAAGGTTTCATTTGGATCAAAATAGGACGGAGATATTTGATAAAAAATAAATTTAAAAAAAAAATGTATCTTTTCTATTTTTTGCTTTGGTCTTTTTTGGATATAGTTATGGTATAACTATTCTAAATTACGCTTATAATTTAATTGAAATTGGAAAACAATAATATATAGCTGCCATAGGAATAATCGAATAACTTACCTGAAAATCTACTTTGTAGATACGCATATAAATAGAAAGTTAAAGGTTTTTGAAAAATATTTCATTTTGGCAATAGCTGCAAGGGTATATCGATTAATATCTTAAAGTCATTCAGGGGCGATCTTCGGTTTCCGATGTCAGCCTTTCATGGTTATTCAAATTCTAATAAATTATATATACTTTTTCTTATTTATTTAACAGTTTTTAATGATGCACTCTCAAAACTTTCAAGAAATATTTTCGACAACAATCCATTTTTTAGTGGAAAGGATCCATAAAAATCAATCCTTGCAAGTGATAGCAAACTCATTTTTAGCTAATCCGACTACATCACCGCTTTTTGCCACAGTGTTAGTGGAATATCTTTTGGACAAAATGGAAGAAATGGGAACAAACCTGGAGCGTTCCAATTTGTATCTACGGTTGTTCAAATTAGTTTTGGAAGCGTCAGCCTCTTTCCAGTTGAAAATGAACAAATGTTGCGCCCCCATCTTCATAAAATAGTCATTCGATCAATGGAATTGGCCCTAATTTCTGACGAGCCGTACAACTATTTTTTACTCCTTCGCGCCTTATTTAGGTCAATTGGCGGCGGTAGCCATGACCTACTATACCAAGAGTTTCTCCCACTTTTACCAAACTTATTGGAAGGATTAAATCGACTACAGAGTGGATTTCATAAGCAACACATGCGAGATCTTTTTGTGGAACTTTGTCTTACTGTCCCGGTTCGCTTATCATCTTTACTGCCCTACCTACCCATGTTAATGGATCCTTTAGTTTCTGCATTAAACGGCTCCCCTACTTTAATAAGTCAGGTAAGTACCGATGTAGTTCTTATACCCTCGTAAAGGGTAAATACCGATGTTATTTTTATGCCTTCGCAGAGGGTATTATAATTTCAGTCAGAACCTTGCCAGGCAGTGAAGGAGTCATTTCCGATTCCAAAGAGTATACGTACTCTTGATCAGAATCACTAGGAGAATCGATCTAGCCGTGTCCGTCTGTCCGTTCGTCTGTCCGTTTCTACGCAAATTTGTCTTGCTGTTTTAAAGTTATCCGCATAAAACTTTCTCAAAAGTTGTCTTCCTGTTGCAGGTACGAACTGGATCGTACGACTATAGCGTATAGCTCCCATAGAAACAATCGGGAGAAAAGAAACGTTGCCGATTTTATATTTATTAAGAATTACATAACTATTTCATAATCATTATTCATAATCATGTAATCATTAGTTTAGGTGCCCACTGAAGGGCACTCGTAGAGTAAAAGGGTGAATGAATACAATATCATTCAAAAGTATGTAACAGGTAGAAGGAAGACAATATAAAGTATATCTTTTTTGATCAGAGTTAATAGCCGAGTCGATCTAGCTATGTTTTTCTGTCTGTCCGTCTGGCCGTCTGTTCGTCTATATGAACGTCATGATTTCGGAAACTATAATAGCTAGAGGTTTGGGACTTAACAAGCAGATTCTAGTAGTTCCAACGCACCGCAAGTTTATTTCAAAACAGAGCCACGCCCATTCAAACGCCCAGAAATCTTGAAAGTATGTACTGTCACTCTGAGACATATATAAAGGTTCGGGTTGTTGTTGTGTGTGCGTTTCGGTCATATCAATCGGTAGACCCAAACATTTTCAAAATCGAGCTATTATTTTAGGAGTTATGGGGTCTATGAAATTCTCTGCCGCCCCTCTGCCGCTGCTTAGCGACTGAGCCGTTGTTCTGCCGCTGCTAGCAGATAAGAGAGAGAGATAGGGAAAGAGAGAGAGAATTAAACTGTTAGCGGGGCTGTGGGGGTGCTGCACGCTCTTAGCTTCTAGTGTTGGTTATGCAGTTCGACAGATGGCACCACCTAAACATCGATCGTGTTGTAGGAGAAATACTTAGGTTTAAGTTTGTTGGCTAAAAAACGGGTGTCTTATAGTCGGGGAACTCGACTATAGCGTTCTGTCTTGATCTATAATAAATTCTGCCCTACGGCTTCAGAAAACAACCGAGTACTTATATTTAAATAGCTTGCTAGAAATAAAAACTCATAATTCAGAAAGTAGCTTGTAAGCCAGCAAATAACTAGATAGCTAGTTTCTCCGAACTTCAGGAAAAGGAAAAACAGCCACACTAAACAGGATGAGCCGATACCAACTCTCTTGCTATTGCTTTTTAACCGTGAACACGACGGTCGGGTTACGCGGAACCACTAACCATACAACATATAGACTGGTCATTTCATACGACGTATTTGGACACAAAAAAACGGACCGCGGAAGGTCCACCGTTCTCACAGCAGCAGGTCCATGCACTTCGTGTGCGTTCGGGTTTTTTACTCTCTCATTCTTATTCTCATTTTTATGCTCGCGCACTCATTGCACGAGTTCAGTCGTTCAGTCGCAGAGACATAGAGTAGGAAACTATATAGAGTCGCCATTTGCTCTGCCGCTCTCTCGAGTGACTTTTCCAGTGATGCCACCTAGACTAAAAAGGGGAAAATTTCAGTCTCTCACGGTTCGATTCGAACCTTTAATTCGGTCCCATGGTGAATTTTTGCAGCTGGCCTGTTCGCTCTTATTGTTCTGTTTTCAGCTTATGGGAAATGCGGCAGAGCGAGTGAAATGACCAAATGATTTTTTGTTTTGGTGACAAAAACGTTGTTCTTGTTTTCCCATAGAAAGAGACTGGGACCGAATTCAACATCCACATCGGACTGAATTCAATGTCCACATAGGCATTGAGTAAGAAAGCAAAGTCTTTTACTTTTTGACTCAATGTGCACATGGGACTGAATTCAATGTCCACATAGGACCCAATCATGTCTGAGTTAAATTCAAATTGTACTGAATTTAAATAATTTGTAATATAAGGATATCATTCTAGACAAAAGCTTCTAAATACATATATATCTATAAAACGAATAATAATTAAAAATAACAGCAATTCAATCATTTTTTATTAAAACTACATTTATTTATTAATATAAAATGTACATAATTTATTTAAAATTTATTGTGACTTATATATCTTAACAGTGGAACTTACTTAAAATCATCATAAAACATAACGAAATAAATGATCTTTTGAGTAAAAGCCTTAAAAAGAAGCAATAGTGATTAATATTTAATTTTTTAAAATTACAATTTTTTTTTACTTAATATTTTTAATGCTAATTGTATTATACAAAATATTATGTATTATACAAAATAAATATTTTTAAATACTTTTAAGCAATTTCGTTTTGCCTGTCTTAAAAATCGAAATTCTGGTTTCATTTTCAAAATCGAACTCAAAAAAGCAAATCAAACCAATAAAATATCTCAAATCAGCATTACAGCTCAAAGCCATACGAAACACGAGCTTTTAAGAGCCTGGTGTATGAATAAAAGAGAATATTTTATTGATACTGAGTAGGAATCGGAAATATTTTTGAGTTCACACAGTTGAAAATAGGTGTGAGAGATGATTGTATTGGTGGACGTCGAGCATTCAGAAGATGCTTCAGGTTCGACATGACGTCACGTCAAACAGCAAAAGCAATTGGACTTCGCTGGGAATCTGCTTGGATGTTCGAAGTGTGGTGAAATGATAAAAAGTAAATGAACTGGTATTTTGCAGCGAAATCAATAAAAGAATGGAGACATCGAATTACCTTCGGCTTAGAGACAATACCTCTGGACGTTTTGTTTAAAAACCCTGAAATTTTTGTGTTTTAAGTCATAAAAAATCGCTTTTTTGGACTTTTATTGACATATCAACGGTGTTTAGTCGTATGTATTCTTGTAAAGGCAAAAAAAAGCAAAAGAGAAGTCATTGTTTTTACAAAGTAGCGCAAAAACTCGTTCAATGTTTTGAATTTAGCGCTTACTAGCTGAACTCTTCTTTCGCATGCAGGTCTTACGGCAGTTGCATCCTGTTGCTTGTCGATTGCACATGTTCGAACAGCTGATATCTTCACCACACTGTTCAAACACCGGCGTCACGCAAGCGTCCATAAATTTGCGGGCAGAGCAAATGGCGACTCTATACATTATTACTCTATGGTCTATATGTTGTATGGTTTGTGGCGGAACGTATAAGTTCGCTGAAAAGACTAAGCGTCTTCGAAACAACACCACGTCGGGACATGCGCGCCAGCACGGACAACTACGTATCACCCACATTGTCCCTCGCTTCCGAGACCAATCTGCGCCTCGCCGGATACCAGCCGGCAACCAGCGCGTGAATTTTTTTTGCAAACAACCTGGCCGTAGAGTGTAAGGTGAGAGGGTTCGAGTGCGGAAGGAAACAAATATTCAGTGTGAAAGGGGAAGAATCCATCCACGTGGGACGACCATGACCGAGCTATTAACGACTCGATTTGATTGATTCAACAGAAAGTGGAAGCGAAGGCAGGCTCGCTGCAGGGTGCGATCGGCCCTCCGCTAGCACAACACGCGATATGGGGCTTACCAACGCGGAACCGGGACAGACGCAGCCATCAAAGCTTTATACGAGTCTGCACAGCGTTTTCATTCGACTCTGCCAGAAGCTTTCCCTAGCTCGTAAGTGCTATCTGGCTTTGGCTATCACGCCTGGGAACGGAGTCCGAGAGACGGAATACACGGTTCCATTTACAAGCAGTAACCCGCGCTCAATTACAGACGGAATCCAATTACGCGACGCCTGCGGAAAACTGACTTCTGTCCGCCTGTATGAGAGGAGGTTGTAAACGAACTCCGGAAGCCCCAGCGTTACGAATCCAGCCCGCTTTCCGCATCTGTCCGGCTATTGAATCCTACGTAAGTATATTTTACGCCTTGCCGCACTTTGACGCGTTACAGCCTCCATTTAAGCAACGCAGCGCCCGACTGAGCCTTCATCCAAACGGTGTTGAGGCCGACTCGATCCCCTTGCCCAGCGTGCCAACGCAAAAGAGAGTGCCGAGCAGTCTTCAATATCTTCAAATCTTGTTATTTCGGGGCGCTTTTCAAACTTGATCTGCGTACACCTGTTTTTGTAATTCTGAAATATTTAACCATTACTTTATGTCGAAGAACTAAAAAAAAATTAAAAAACAGCTACCTTATAATTTTGTTCATTTATTTTTCCGATTGTTCCTATTGGAGCTATATGCTATAGTCGTCAGATCCGGCTCGTATCGACTTATGTACTACCTGCAATAGAAACACAAATTTTTGGAAAGTTTCATGCAGATAGCTTTAAAACTAAGGGTTTAGTTTGCGTAGAAACGGGCGAACAGACGGACGGACAGACGGAGAGTCGGGCATTGCTTTATCGACTCACCTATTGATCCTTAACAAGAATATATATACTTTATGGTGCCGGAAATTAGAATACCCTCTGCAAGGGTATTAAAAAACCTAGCTTGCCCAGACTTTACACCTTCGAAATACATACCAAAGCCAATGATTGCAAGTAAGAAGCTGTACTAAGGCAACTAACTAACGTACATCGGTTGGAAAATGATGAAGTCGAAACAAAAATACTCGTACAAAAAAAAGTGATTTGCAATTTACTGAGGAAAGCTACCGATAAGATGGTCATTACCTATCTTTAATCGAGAGATCTTTATTTATTTTCGACAAGTTCCTAAAATGGATGGAACTTGCGGTGGTGACAAAGGCGTTCTTAGAAATGGTTTATCGGTCCAGGACTGAACAGGCGGTAGGGGAATTGACAGAAAACCGTAATTCAGATGCTGACGGATCAACTCGGCCTCTTGTAAGACCCAAGCCGGTCTTAAACAATAAAATCTCGCGATAATATTCCATCGGTTTGAAGGAGCTTAGCCTGGTTTCCGACGACGCGCACAGTGGCTCGTT